CCAGTTTAGTCAATTTCACAGTGATAGGGTTTTAAGCATAATAAATTATATAGTTTTGGATATTTAAATCTGAAATTTAATGGGAACTGTGGGGATCCAATCTCAAAAGGAAGTCACAGGGACAGTTTGCAAAGCTATGATGGGGTTAGTGATATTGCCACCCTTATTTCTGACCTGCTGCTGGTGGCAGCACTGTGTTCAGAGCTGGGTCAGCCAGACAGCAGTAGCTCCAGGCTAGGCACCCAGCTCTAAAGGGAACCCCACTGCCAGCAGCAATGCAGAAGTGAGGTTGGCATGGTATGGTAGTGCCACTTTTACTCATGTGCTGCTACTGGTGGGATGCCATGCCACCCTCACTTCTACACTACTGCTGGCAGTGGGGCTCCCTTTAGAACAGGGTGCCTGACCAGCAACTAAGGAGCTTCCTACAATTGGGGAAGGTTTCTAGAAATGGCTCTGACCCAGCCCCAGGAGCAGCCTCTGCAGAGGAAGAGTTAGTCCCATTGCTCCCAACCTGGCAAAGATTAGCTGCTGGACCTTGGCACATGGTAGGAGCCCCCTGACCTACTACTTCCCTCATAGGGAGATCTGGTTTCATGGTGGAAATCGTATTTCACAGTCTGTGAAGTATTTTTCATGGCCATGAACTTTGTACAATTCTAGCTATGACAGCACAATCCACTGTTCGATCTTTTTAGGAAAAACAGTAATATTGTCACAGTGCCACCTGGTGGTAAGGTAAGGCTATTTTTGTTACCCATTTTTCTGTGGTACTTCCTTCCCGAGATCTGGTTTCATGGTGGAAATCGTATTTCACAGTCTGTGAAGTATTTTTCATGGCCATGAACTTTGTACAATTCTAGCTATGACAGCACAATCCACTGTTCGATCTTTTTAGGAAAAACAGTAATATTGTCACAGTGCCACCTGGTGGTAAGGTAAGGCTATTTTTGTTACCCATTTTTCTGTGGTACTTCCTTCCCATCCACAAACTGAGTCTCATCTTCAAACCTTTAATCAAGTGAGGAATCTCACAAAAGCAGTGTTCATGAAGTTAGTATGACTGCTCAATGAGCAAGGACTGTCCACTTGATTCGGATTGTGCATGATCGACTGATGAGATCCTTTTGGTGTTGCTCTTCTCAACTTCTTGGTTGCTTAGGGCTCAATTCTGCAAATTGCTTTGCTCTCTGGCCTTGATACATTGAGGCACATCTTTAACTTTAAGCTTGTGAATAACTTCAATACTCACATGCTTAAAAAGAAGCAGCTGTTTAAGAGCTATGCTTTCGGATCAGACTGCTAAACAAAGTTCAGGACTGAACTCCAAAACTGTGCAATTATGAACAGATTTCTGCTCGATTGGGAGACGTGGGAGCAGGCACTTTTGCTCTTCCCTGCTTGGTAGCCTCTCAAACTAGATCTAAATGGGATATCCTACAGCAGGTGTGGCCAACCTGAGAAGGAGCCACAGTTTACCAATGTACATTGCCAAAGAGCTACAGTAATTTGTCAGTAGTCCCCATCAGGTGCCTCCTCTCCCATCTCCAGTATCTTTGGCCCACCAATCAATGCCTCCTCTTTCTTCTCCGAGCCTCCTGTCCACTGCATCAGCTTTTTCATAGCACTCTGGAGGCTCTGTGGGGGAGGAAAGGAGCAAGGGTGCAATACGCTTGGAGGAGGAGGTGGAGCCAGGAGTTGAGCACTGGAAAGTTGGTACCTGTAGCTGCAGCCTCAGAATCAGTGCCTGAGCAAGGAGCCACATATTAACTTTAGAAGAGCCACAAGTGGGTCCAGAGCCACAGGTTGGCCACCCCTGTCCTATACTTATGAAATCAGTATGGATAGTTAGGGGCCAGGCTAGTATTTACAGGCTTGATCAGAGATGCTCCCACTAAGGTATGCTGAATTCTCCCCTGCAGATGCCAGCTACCAGCTTCAGTGAGAACTTCCTGAGTTATCAACTTGAAAATAGCAGCAACTTGAAAATAGTAAAACAGTCCCAATGTCTTTTGCGAAAGGTTAATTTCAAACAGCAAACAAAATGAAACTGGTCTCTGCAAAAGGCTGGAAATCAATTATAGGTTGAAGCGGTCTCTGGTGAAGATCATAGTCTGTGGAAAATAAATATTGAAGAATGAAGTGTTGCTGCCACCTACTGAACATATGTAGCATGTAGTTTTACTATTTGCCATAGTGGTTGGTAGTGAAACTAGTCACCTTATTAAATAATCTCAAAAATGTGTTAACTATTTGCCAGTATTCATTGCCCAATTCATGCTATCAAATCTCATACAACAGATGTTTTGTAAACTGTTCCCTCAGGTTGTGTGCACTGTTATTCTTTGTGCATGATTTGCCACCTATGTTACTCGGCATTATTTCTGTTCCCTGAATGGATCACTAAAAATTTTAAGATGAGAATGATATATAACAATTGACAAATGGTAAATAATGTACAGCGAATGTGTGTTTTTGTGCACAAATACTCTTGCTCACATATAAATAAATCTATATATAAATCGTTATGAGTATTTCAGCAGGGACAGCTGATCTCCAAGCAATTGCATGAGCAAAAGTCTGGCAATGTGAATGTTTGTGAACAGTAACTAGTAATATATATGAACATGGTACAAAATTCATGGTACAGCCATTCAAAATCAGAAAATGTGGTAGTGAACACTCTTAGCAGGATGTAACTAGCTCCAGCCTTAAGATATGTTTGTACATTGCAATTTACATCTGTGTCGGAAGTGCAGCTAGAAAGCTTCTATTGACCAGTAATATCACAGAAAATACCTGTGTCTGCCTATTCCCAGAGGGGAGGTATAAAAAGCTGTTGCTTTGGTTTATGTGGTTGCTTTTCACTTTACGTTGGCTTCAGAAAAGTGCAGGTTTGAATTCAAAAGTATTAGGGTATGATGTGGATCAAAACAAAGAATCTTCCACAACAATGAGATGGGAGTAAACTTTTGAGCACTTAAAGGCATTGCCTATTGAAATGTTTGTTGCTCTCTCTCTCCCTGTTTGTATAATGTGGCGAAGGAACTCAGAGATGCTTACTTGACTCTCTGGATGCTCCAAAATTTTTGAAAACAGGTCACACATATATGTGACTAATTATGGACTTGGACAATTTGGACTCCCATTTTTGAAAAATCTTTGTCAAAAAATCACATCTCTATATATAAAAAAAGTTTTCCTGCCTTGCGACAGAATGATGTCATTAGGCTGTCTTGCCGCAGAAGTGGCCAGAGAGAAGGGGGTTGGTGAGTGTAGCATACAGTAGGCGCAGCCCCATAGTGATTTATAAACCTTAGCTGTGTAAAATATCTTTAAATCCAAGAAGGTAATTCTTTCACCTCTACTCGCCCCACATAAATATATACTCATCTTAAACTTCCCCATTGAGCAATACCAGTACATTGTTATTGTTATATTGAATTTGTTACTGTTAATTAATAGTAGATCTAAAAGCTACTACTGAAATAATGGAAAGTCCCACCCTTATTTGGTTAAAAACTAGTACCAGCACTTGCAAAACTTCAAAGGGTTCTCTCAACATAGACTTCATCAATGATGCTGCAAGCCTTAGTTCTAATCTTTCATGCTTCACATGCAAAAACATCAAAAGAGAAAAAAGGAGAAAAGCTATTTCCAAAGCAACATTACTCTGTCTGTAAACTGTATGTTTAGCCATCAAAAATACAATTCAAATGGGGAAATTATTATTTACATAAGATATTTTTAATACATACAATCACTAACTTTTTTCCTCAAAAAAGATTTGTGTGTAATAAAATATAATGTCTAGAACTCAAGAGATTTGCAGAAGAAAATGAAAAAGAATTAAAAAGTGTCTGATGTAGAAGCCTTCAAAGCAAGAAGATCAATTTATATTCTCTCTTACTTACTGGAACACATTCTGCATATTTTATTGTTTCTGTCATCTTGCTTGTTATAATCCATCCAATGAGTTCTCAAAGAACATTAAATCCTACAAATAAATAAACTTTGAATGTTAAAGAAGATACAAAAAGGCAACAATTAATATAAAAAAGACTAGTTGGCTTTTATTATGTAAAATAAGTATATTAGTCAATGGCTTTTTGCCACTGAGCAATGATAGTTATGTTACGTGAAAATATTACATGTCATGAGAATTATATTTCTAAACTTGTTGCAGCCAAGAACTAGAATAAAAAATTAGAATCACTGTTGTTGTTTTTTCAGAAATACAATCAAAATAGCTTTGTCTGTCTTCCTGTCTTATCTGATCAGAGAATCCAAACACTTTATTGAAATTGTTATGTGGCCATCATAGCGATGCAGATGTGTAGCATATTAAATATAATGCATATGGAGAAATAACTCAAGCAAGAAAAAAGATGTTTTTTTGCCATGATAGTTGTGCACCTAAAATCTATATGCAAGCCCTCTTTGCCCCTGTTTTTAAGTTTCAGTGCTTTACACCAGAATGTTTGAAGAAAGAAACATGGGCAAAGGAGAACATTATGGCCCATTGGTCAGACATAGGATAAATCAAAGGATTCACCTTTCCACATCCCAAAGTTAGCAGCATAGGTAAAGATATTGTCTACAAATCCAGAACAAAATCTGGAAATCTTGTCTCCTCATATAACTCTCCTATGGAATCTATGGGAGTTATTTAGACCCTGATGGGGTGAATCAGGCCCAGAATCTTGAAACTGCAATAAAGAATCAGTGTAATTTCTCTTCGCTCTAGGTTCATAGGCAGAGGAATAAGTTCAAATTGAATAGTTTTTCCTCATGCCTCAGATTATCCTGTGTTCTGTTTGTTTTTCATAGGATTAAAATATCTGGTCACAGTTTTTATAACACGACAACACATGCAATTACCTAGCTTGGCGTGGCTTTTCCCTCTGGTTTTGTGTACTTACTATGAGGAAACATGCTCCAATCATTATAGCCTTAATTTTCACGTCAAGATCTATAGGAACCTGGATCCCAAAGTTAGCAGCATTGGTAAAGACATTGTTTACAAATCCAGACCAAAATTTGGAAATCTTGCCAATTGTGGACATTTCATTAAGGGTTTTTACCTGCACATGAGAAAATAAGGATTAAAAACAGTCACACTAACATATATAAACCTTCCATTACCTCCCTCACAAACAATAATTTACTGGATTTCTTATAATCAGTGCCCTGCAACAGAGAAGAAAGTATTCTATTCTTAGTGGGACAGATCTCAGTTGGCATAAATCAGTACAATTCATTGATTCCATTGCTGCTTCTCCAGTTTTCACAAGCTGAGGATTTGTCCACGAAGGTAAAATGAAGCTCACACCATGTAGGCAGCCAGTACAATGTTACCCATTTATGTCAATACTTACTAGAATTCATTATTATTTTAATCAAAACACAAAAATATTTCCTATTTTGAATAGTTTTACAACCTCTGTTTTTCACTTTTCTACGACATTTTGGAAAGGTTATTCAAAGCATATACATTTGCAACAGACCAGCTTACAATATTTATGATTACCCCATCTTTCCTGCCTTCACCTTGACTTGCTTGTCTCAAGCAGCTGTAATGTCTTATTTTGCAGACTTTAAACTTTTTGGTGCAGGATCTGACATTTTCTGTGCTGGTAGAGTGCCCAGTACCATGGGTCCTAGATTGTTAGAGTCCTCGTTATGTAACCACAACACAAATAAATAAAGAACAAGGACACTCTTCCTTGACACTTTATGCCTATGAAATGTCAAGATGTCACAGAGAGAGGATCCATGTTCTGTATGAGCTTTTTAGATGGAATTTGAAAAAACAGTTTGTGATATGTGAAAAGCAGGGTATATGGTCAATGTCATCACCATGTATCAGATTCACCCCTACTGCCTGAGACTATGATCCCAGAGGACTGATAGAGGAGCTGGTCAACCATTGATGTCATCTTGCCTCCCTCCATTTGTACAATGAACTTTAATGCAGTTTCTAATTGTGGAAACTGCACATGCACAGCATGTAACCCCCATGCCACCTCTGCTGAATGTGTATTCTTCTCTCCAACTTTCCCTCCAAAAAGCTTTCCCAGTGGCCATTAACAATCAGGCTGATTCTATTCTCATTGGTATTCAGGGGCAAAATCCCTATTACTCCAATGGGAAGAGGACTGGTTCCAGTGGACTGACAGACATCCCTGGTCCTCATGCAGTAAGAGCTGGGTGCAAAACAGCACATCTGAACAACCATCAATGTTGGTTGTGAATTCAAATTTTGTGGCTTTTTCATTTTGTTCAGAGGAAAATTATTTCTTCACACATTCTCCATAGTCAGCAAATGGGAATTTCAGTATTTTTGTCAATTTGGCTGATAAATAATAGCTGTGCAGTGCATATGTTGAAATGCAGTTTATGGCAAGCATGCAGGGCATGCCTCTGCAGCATGATACCACGGCAAAGACCTGCAGTAGCTGTAAAATCAGAAAAGCAGACAACATTTTGACTGGAAAATACACGTGCAGTTGCACACACAGAGCAGCTGATTCAGTGGCAGCACTTAGACACCTTCCTCCCATACTCTTGTCACCCAGCGGAATAACACTAGATCATTGAATCTCTGACATATTCACTGTACACAAAGAGTTAGAGGACTCTTGCTTCTGCTGCTGAGAAGTATCATGTCACAGTGATGCCGAAACAATAGAAATAAAAGACAGCAGCTGCAGTAGATTCCACAAAAATAATTTAAATGCATACAATACCATTGCGGCTGTCTCTGACCAATGGAGTTACTTGCTCTGATTCAGATGAGGTAAATTCCCTTCAATCTGTAGGCCTCCTCTAGCCACTGACTTCAGATTGCCTCTAATCAGTAGTCTCCTGTTCATTATCACTTATACTGTGGGGTAGCATGCATATCTTTATCTATGTGAAATGACACACCACAAAGATCCCCTTTTAGACATCCAGGATCAGCAGCAGCACAGAAGCTGCTTGGGAGCCAGGAAAAAGAAATTGCGAAAAGGTATACAATTTTCCCCTTCTTTCACAAGGAAATTTCACTTCAATAAAAATCTCTTGTCTCTAAATAGCAGTAGTATCATGTCTGGCTCTGACAAATGTGTCCTTGACTGCTTAGTCATTACAATTATTTAGTCAATTTAACCTACATTTGTGAGCAGAACATCACTGAAGTCTTTGGTGTGGAATGTTGCTATGACCCCTTAATCAGGATAAAACAGAGAGAAAGTGAGAAATCCCAAGCAAGCACTGGGTTTGTCATAGCAAATTCTATGCATGTTTTATTCTCCCTTCCCCCCGCAATCTACTGCTTCTCAGAATCAACTGTCCTTCTGTGGAAGTAGCAGTGAAGTGGATGTAAATCTATTCAATGGCAATACTACTTTTAGAATCAAGTCTAAGGGTATTGATGTCAATGGAAAGAGTCCCTCTGAGTTTAGTGGACTTTGGATCAGAATCTTTCAGATGGAGATTGGGATGTAATCCGGGCCCTGATGAAGCAGATGGCAAAACTTCCATTGATTTCAGAGGTCCAGGATTTCGTTTTAGAATAATGTTTTTTTCTGCATCAGTTGTCACTCCTATTGAAGAAATGCAGGTGGTAGGCTCAACTTCCAGCTTAAGATCTGAAGCTGTAACCATGAATTTCAATTTGTCGCTCTGTGCACTTTGGACATCTGGTTCTTAAAGTACAGTAGTTCATTGGTTTTTAAATTAAAAACTTTCATTGAATGTGTCAGTCAGAATATTATATTACTTTTAAACAATGTGTATTCTCTAATGTATGAAACATACCTCAAAGTCTACATCACCAAAACAGCTGCATGTTGCATAGGGGCCAATTATTTTCAATACATCTTCTTTGCTCTCATTCAGTATAGTGAATTTAGGTAGCAGAGGGTCCCACTTCTGGACAACGTAGCCGACTATTGTACCGGGAGGGGATTGAACTTCCAACTATTAGATGAAAGTGGCATACAATAATAGCATGTGTAATTTTAGAAGATTAATTCCCTATTTTTTAAATGCAAAATTTTGAACCATAAAAATAGGGTGAAAACACTTCATATGATAGTTTTAAATACATTGAACAATATTAACTTAATAATTGCTGATAAAGAATAAAGTTTTATATCATGTGAAAAAATCATATATATATATATATATATATATACAGATGCTAATGTAATTACAGTTATTAGCTAATATACAAAGGTCTATTTCTATAGAGGTGTTGATATTGCTGTACCTCAATCTTCATCTCTAGTGCAAATCATAATGCACCACTGAGAAAGTAAGTGGGCAAATATATAAAGTACTTGCATAAAATGATGAAATCAACATGTTGGAATAGAATATTTACCCTTCACAGTCAATGCGTCTCAGAGTCAGAGTGCTTTATAGTAATGAATGGTACAATAGAAGAGAAAGGATCTGTGTTCTCATTCAAAGGAGAGTATTTTTAACATTGGAGTCTCTTAATACAAGACTGTGGATACAGTGAAGCTCTATAGGAGCAGCATTAGGACTTTCTGTTGCAGAGTCCAAGGTGTTCCCATCTAAGTCAGATTGACCCACATCAATTAAGGACCTCCATTAATATTCCTATCTTTTATATACTTTACTGTCACACAGTATGTGATTTGTACTGTAGAGTTACTATTAGCCTGTGACAAATAAAATGATATTTATTGTGCTAATTGTTTCTTTAGGATTGTGTTAAAAATTCAAAAAATCAAGTTATTCAAACTATACATACAAACGCATATACGTAGTATCTCACAGGACTTATGAGTACTAATACGGACCTTTTTGCACTAAACATAGCAAATACCAAGCAAACTACCACCAAAAAGAGATGTTCCTTGACTTGTCTAGATAATTATGATTTTTATGTCTTTTTTGAAGAGGAACTATGGTCTAACAGCCAGAGCCCGGCCTTGCGATCTCTAGTCTCAGCTCTAACATTATTTCACCACATGAAGATGGACAAAACAAATAATCTTCTGTGCATTTTACCCATTTGGAAAGTGGGTATAATGCCAAACTAAGAAAGGTTTCCTGAGGCTTGGTGAAAGTTGGTAAATAATTTGAGCACAGATGATAGATACTGTTGTTATTATTCACTGACCTCTTGCATGTAGCAAGGGAACCAGCAGCTGTTACATCTCAAGGGTCTATTCACCGTGATCACCTCTCGACCGGTGTTATCAGTTATCCTTATGGTGAAAGATCGTATAGGTGAACAGAAATTACGATCAAAGCAACCATTTTCTTCCATTGCAAAGTAAACTCTTTGTCCCAAATGGTTTTTTATCTCATATTTGCTGCAGGTCTCTGTACCAAGTATGACTAGTAAAGTAAAACAGAAAGTTATTTAGGATAATAAATTAGAATTACAGATAGCCCAGAAACACTTGATCCCAAGTGTGGATCCAAGTTTACAGTCCAACTTCTCTCTATAATATATATTGCAATGTCTTTGGAATGGGGACCATTTAAAATCCCATTAAAGTAATGAAGTTATGCAACAATAATGAGATGAGGGATTGAATCAGAACACCATGGAATCTGGAAAAATCAGATCTGTATTTCAAACCAAATTAAAGAGTGCCCAGCTTGATCAACTGCGAAATTATGAAATTAAGATCAGGAACCAGATTTGATATCCAGAGTTATGGGCTGAGCTCCTCACTAACTAGGTGAAAATTAATGACATGATCCTGTTCAGTTTTGTTCAGTAGCAAAACTCCTATTCATGTCAATAAGGCAGAATCAGGCGCCATGCCAATCTGCAATGAAAAAGAAAGTCAAGAAATATGACATTTATTTTCTAGCAGTTAGTTTCCAGAGGGCTTTGCAATTTTAAGTCACTATATAAATGTAAAATTTTTTGCAATATTGTATCACTTAGAGATTTCTTCTTTTTTTTTTTAACTCATCTGATTGGAGAGCATTACATTATATGGTAGTGTGTGAATAACTGATAAAGAGAACAATGTCATCCTAATCCTGGAAACTCTTAAAAATGTGAATAGCTTTAGGCAGTCCCACTGAACTCCTTATTGACTTTTTCATCTCTTTTTATTAGTAGAACTGCTGTAAACAAAATGCACTGTCAGCATTAAGCCTATCAGTGCATTGAGGACTGATCAAATGCCCATTATGGTCAGTGGAAGTTTTTTCATTGATTTAAAAGGGCTACAGTCAAGGCATAACTTAGGTCACATTTACAGAGATATCTGCATGCTGGCATTGTAAAGATGAAACTCATTCACATGGTACCTTCAAGAAGCTCCACCTGCTGGTGAATGATTATCTGGTCCAGCTGTTAAAAAAATGAAAATAAATGAAACAACATGGTGGCACTCTCATAACATTAAAGAGATTTGGAACTGCCAGAGTAATCATTCTCACATACCTGATAAACCCAGTGTCAAACAGTGAATATTAGCCATTTATTGATAACTGTTCTCCACAAAGCTGCTAAATGGTTTATAATTCTCTCTGAAGTATTTGCTCTGTTTTGAGAAGGGGATGTTAATGCTGCAAAACTAACTGGATTTTATATCTATGTCACTTTGACAGTAAGTTACTCTACTAACAAGTTAGCTTTTGGTCATTTCTTTTCCTTAAATTTCTGATGCCCATGAGATATTTGCTACAGGATTTTCTCTTTCCTTAAGGCTGAAGAAAGAACATATGGTATCATCATGCCACAACCCTTTACTGTCAGTTCTACATTTGGCAAACCTTGTGTAGTACATATTCAAAACAACCTGCAGCCATTTGGTTCAAGTCCATCTTGCAGCTCATCCAGTTTGTAAAAAGAATCTGGTGAGATACCCTCCACGGCCTCACAGTTATCGCTGTAGTACACAAGCAAATAAGAGATTTTTGAATAAAGCCTTTATACTTACAAGTGTTTCCATAAGACTTAGTTACTTGCAGCTTTAACTGCAGGAGGCATAACAAGCACTTCTTGCAGCTTAAGGGAGCTTAGTATAGAGCTTTGCTATCAATGAAATGGACAAGTACTTTGTAGGTTGCCAACCACCTTGAATGTCACAGGAATATTCCAATATTCAAATACCGGGTTCATACCCCAATTTAGTCTTTCACAGGACAATACATATGGAGTGCAGTCAAGCTATTTAAAAGCCTGGAACTATTTTAACCCTATAAGTTAATTTATTATCAATGAAAAATATGTCTAAATTTAGAGAGTGCAGTAAGGTTAACAATATTTAATATGCTTTTTGTTTTACTGAATCTATCATTTATCAGAGCACTCAAGGATCACAAAGATTTCTCACATTGCATCTCAAATGGTCTTAGAACCCAACATTTATAAGGGTCTATTCTGCTCACTTAACTTTAGTCCTTTTAGCAGATTAATTATCATTTTCAATGATGGTAGTTTTGTTTGTATAATCTAAACATATCTAGATTATATTAGCCTCATTTACATGAGCCCTGCAATGGACAGGTAACTGCTTCACTGTAATATATATCTTGGATTCTGTTATTGCCACTCCAACGCATCTGATAAAGTGGATTTTACCCACAAAAGCTTACGATCCTGTATATTTTTGTTAGTCTCTAAGGGTATGTCTACACTAGCCCCCTAGTTCGAACTAGAGAGGATAATGTAGGCATTTGAAGTTGCAAATGAAGGGCCTGGGATTTAAATATCCTGGGCTTTATTTGCATCTTCCCATCTGGGTGCCAATTTTAAATCCCCTTAGTCCGAACTAACTGCCCGCGGCTACACGCGGCAGTCAAACGTTAATTTGAACTAAGGTCTTAGTTTGAGTTAACTGTTATACCTCGAGGTAAGGACTTAGTTCAAGTTAACGTTTGACTGCCGCATGTAGCCGCGGGCAGTTAGTTTGGGCTAAGGTGATTTAAAAATGGCTCTCGGACGGGAAGATGCAAATAAAGCCTGGGATATTTAAGTCCCAGGCTTCATTTGCAACTTCAAATGCCTACATTAGCCTCCATAGTTCGAACTAGGGGGCTAGTGTAGATATACCCTAAGGTGCCACAGGACCACTCATTGTTTCATGTTTCACATTCTTTTCCTACACTTTTTTTCTTTTGGGTATTGTCCTGTATATCTCCATATGCTGAATAGCTATCTCTATTCTAGTGACCACAAGCTTTTGCCTATTTCACAGGAGATGTCAACTTGCTACAAATCACCTTGTACCTCAGGAAAAGATGTAGGGTCTATTCTCTCAACAGATGTAGAGCCTGTCATTCTGGGAGGATAGTTCTCCCACATCCAATCAGGTCTCATTCCGAATTCCACTTGGTCCATCACTTGGTCATTTCTGTGTTGCTAATCTTGCAAGAATTGGGTGAAGCAGGGATTTCAAATAATCACAGAGCCTTTCTGTGTATAAACTCCAGTAATTTTAATTTGCAAATCAGGTGGATTAAATGGAAATGTGAACAAATCCTCTGGTATCAATGTAGGGATTTGAGCTACTCCCAAAAAATAATTATCAAACTGTACTTTAAGAAAGTAAAATGCCAGAAGAATCCAACGACTAAAACAGAGGTATTTCTGAATGCAAGACTACAAGAATGTTGGAGGCAGCATGTCCTCAGCAGTTTCCCTGAATGAGAAAGGTTACACTGGGTAGAAGTCTGCCAGCCTTTTCCCTGAGCATATCACATTAAAAATTGTTATTCTAAAACTGCTCTTTTTTCAGTCATGGGGTTAAGTTTGACTCTTCTTAATGACAAGCAAACATTCTGGACAGAGCCGGTCTTAGCTGCCATTTTCAAGGGGCCACCTACAGAGCCAGTTTTAGGGGCAGGCTATGACCGCATTTCAGTCCGACCTCCTGAATCTTCCCCCTGGTTACTTCCTGATCCCCTTTTTTTGTTGCTTGACAAATTTTTCTCCGTTATTTTTGAAACCATCTAGCAACCCTCTGGGCAAGCCGAGTAGTAGCCTGGGGCTGCCAATTAGCTAGGACCAGCTCTGATTCTGGGGGAGCAGGGAAATCCTCAATTTAATAGAAAAAGTTTCATAGGTGTTGGGTTGCTATCCTGAAATGGAAGCAACTACTCTGTTTGGGCTTGTCTATACTACAGAGAAGATCTTCACTGCCACAGTGAAGATCTGCTAATTTGAACTGAGAGGGTGCTCCTATCGGCGCCAGTAGTCCTGCTTCTAATGAAGAGTAAGGGAAGTTGACTGAAGCATGAGCTCCCAATGACCTCTCGCTGTGTGGATGCTGCCAGAACATTATTTAAGATACTTAAACTCCAGCTATGTAATTAACGTAGCTAGAGTTGTGTATCTTAAGTTAACTTTCCCCTTTAGACTAGACCTTTGCTTTTCCGCTACTAGCACAGATTTAAAGAAACAATCCTTGAGATGCTCTCAAAAGCAAAACTTTAATTTATAGTTGGACCTAATACTGGTAAATAAAACCTAAATGATGACTACTTAGAATGCCTCTCACACCTTCAATGCATCCAAACCTTAGGATTCTGCTGAGGAATATCAGATCTGATTAAATGCTTCCCAAATCCTACAGTTGTTCAGTGGCAAGTGTATGAATGTTTCAGAGAGGCTACGTCCAGACTGCGGCTTTCAGAAGAAGCTTTTCCGGAAGAGATGTTCAGAAAAAACTTCTTCCAAAAGAGATCGCCCACGCTGCCAAAGTGCATCGAAAAGCGATCTGCTTTTTCAAAAGATAGCGTCCACACTGAATGGATGTTATCTTGCATTTAAGCTGTGATTACTATAGACGGAGTGGCCACCAGGGTACACATGTGCTTTTTCCCTCTTTCTTCTTCTTTCAAAAGAACTTCCTCTTCCCCATCCACACATACCTTTTTCCAAAATAGCTCTTTCGGAAAAAGGCTTCTTCCTCATAGAAAGAGGCTTACCAATGTTGGAAAACCCCCTCTGTGCTTTTTTTTTTTTTTCAAAAGAATGCAATTGCAGTAGAGACGTAAATGAAGGTTTTTTTTTTTTGAAAAACAGCTGTTTTTCTTAAAAAAAACAACGACTCTGTAGTGTAGACATAGCCAGAGATAGAGAAAGTCTTCTCTTCTATTTCTCTAGACTGAAAAGGTGGTTAAGAGTAAACAGAGAGATGATAAACCCACTATCTGAGGAAGTCATGATGGTTATTCATTCAGAGAAACACCCTGATTATTGGACTAACTTTCGGCATTAAATACAGGAAGCTCAGAGCTTTAAACTTGGTTCTGACAGTAATTTGCCCATGTGTCAGATTGAAAATATCTTTAAATAGGGATAATAGAATGTACTGTCTTACCTCATAGGGGTAAGTTGAGGAATAATTAGTTACTGTTTGTACAAAACTCTGAACACCTAACATGCTAAGTATTTATTATTGCCATTACTTTTAGTCCTTGATTGATACTACTTGTTCCACCATCCCTGAACTAATGCTCATGGAATTGACAATGTATGTCATTTCAGTCAATGTGCCATGGACCCACTATACCATCAGGGGCGGCCCATGACTATAGGTGGACTCGGCTGTCGCCTAGGGCACCGCCTTCAATGGGGCACCCGATGATGACATCACGGGGCACCCGGGGCGCCCCATGATGACGTCAGTCCATGGATGGCCGTGTAGGCGGGGGCACTGGTCACATGATCCATCTGGGTGCCAGCTTCCGCAGCCTGCCTCAGGCCACTCCTGTATACCATGGCTTTAAAGTGAAGAATAATGGGGCAAAAAACAATTGCTAGTCCTTTGAAGTTTCATAAGGTGACTGACAAATAGACACTACAAGGTAATTTAAGCTGAAAATGTAAAATACATTATTTTTCCTATCAAATCCTAGTATGGACAGAAACGTTCTCATGCATTGATTTCAGTTTAAGCCTTTATGAATTTAAACATTCCTTAGCCCTGTTAGAGCGTTGGGAGCCAAACTCTACATCTGTCCAGTGCATGAGAATCAAAGCTATACATTCTAAATTGCCAGACTAGCTTCATTGTCAAAACAGAGGGCTTGGTTCCTTCTCCCTCCCACATGCTGATCAGTGGGAATAATGTGGAGTAAACTACTACAGTAAAACTCCATTAGTCTGGCACTCCTGATAGTACGGCATCAGCTGGAATCCAGAACTGCTCAGGTCAGCCGCTCTCACGGCCAGGCCTCTGTGAGCAGCACCGTTCTACTCATGGTCCCCAGCGCACACAGCATCCAGCCTGCACGTACTAGCAGCCAGCCGCTGAGCACAGACAGCTGCATCGGGACTCGGACATAAGGTTGGGGGAGACAGCAGGGAGGGGAGATGTTTGGCTCTGGGGAAGGGGAGAGGGATTGGGTTGTGCACAGCGTCCCGGCCAGTTCATTGAAAAGCCGGCCACTCAGCTCACGTGCCCCAGCACCTGGAGGGAGACGCGTGGCTGTACCAGCGGCTTCAGGACCTGAGCTTTAGGTGTGGGGGGAGAGGAGGATTGGGTTGGGAGTATGTCCCCTTATAGTACCTCCTGGTACTCCAGCATATCCGATAATACAGCACCACCTAAGGCCCAAAGGTGCCGGATTATCAGAAGTCTACCGTACATGGTTTGAATAATGGTTGCATAAGGAGACTGTGAGCAAAGTGCTGTTAGGACTCAATCAGCATATGTGGCAAAGTATCATCTTTAAAATGCTTACATTCTGAATAGTCTCATGTGCTCGTGGAAACACAGCTAAGATTGGTTTTGGTCCTACAGACTCTGCAGTTTGAAGGGTCCTCTCTGGCTATGAAACTTAAAAGATTTTTAAAAAATCATCATTGGAACCTATTGTGTTTGCCACTCCCTTTACAAACCACAATTTGCAAGAGGCAAGGATGGTTTTGGACACAAATTGTATAGGTGGGCATCTAAGATGCCATGATCCAGGGATATCTCTGGCCTATGTATCCTTGAATTTTTTCCATCCATGCATGGAATACATTTTTATGTGCACTGAGGCATGTGCAGATGTGCATCATCAGTAGAAACATATGGTGCCAGCTGTGGGCACTCTGCTAATCTGCATGGCTGACCAAGCACTCAGCATACAGAGAACACTGCCTATGGCCCCCGGTAAAAGTATCACTATGGGCAGAAGCCATCTATCTATAAGACCTTCATGCACCTCAAAATGTGGGCTCCATTTCAGAGCCTTGTTTTTCTTTCTTTGAAGTCAATGGGAGTTTTGATAACGATTTTCATGGGAGTGAGTTCTTAATGAGTTGAAGGGAGACAGGGCAAAGAAAATGGGTAAGGTATGATAAGGGGTAAGGTATGACCCACCTTGCTGAGTCATAGGGGGCTGAAAGTAAAACCAATACATTTGCCTAAAGCTGCAGCAACCATAAGGCAGGCCCTTTTTAAAAGGCTAAATTAATTTCAAAGCTTTGTTTTGTTTCAACACAAGCTCAAGCTCTTGAGAAAATACAATGTGATTAAGGTTTAGAGACAACAGGACCTGGCTCAGGTATTCCAGACCAGGAGGCAAGCTGGGAGGCGGTGGTGCATGTTTCCAGACTTTTATAGGTTCGATAAGTTTGCCTTGACTAGGAGGGTCAGGAGAACCTGGGAGATAATCCTGAAAGATTTTGTTTATTTGTCCTTGAGGCTCTGCAGAAAGGGGGAAAAAAGATTTAATTAACATTTAGGTTATACAATTAGGATATGATATTGCTTCCTAGGTAACTTAACATTTACTTTTGTGTCATTTTTATGTAGCTGTATCTATCCAGAAGTCTGTCATGAGAGAATTTTGCAGGACTCAGACCTATAGTAACTTGGTGGTAGAATGTGGACATCAACGCACAGAGACACAAACAACATGCACATGTACATTATATTATGCTGGGAGTTGAAGGCAACCTCACAGGTGGGGCAATAGCTGCCCCGCATTCTTGATTAATACAACACACACACACAAATGGTAAGAAATCTGAACTATGTGGGCAGAAATGTTTCTCTGATGGCTGACTGCAAAGGTAGGGGCTGATTATTGTTTGAGAAAGAGAGCAAAGCCGCACAAACGCCACTACCAAAGAAGACAGCATCAGGGAGAGCCTGAGAAGTACTTGCCATGTGACCTTGTGAGAAAGACAGTAGAGTACGTTTGGGTAAAGTGCTGGTTAGAAAGGGGCATGGGACTCTGGACAGAGAAACTGTATCCTGACCTGTGATTCCTGTGTTCAGGAAATCTGGACTTCACAGTACTTTTTTTCTGCAAACAAACAGGATTGCACCAAAGAAATCCCTGATTCCAGTGTTCCCTGTAGGCTGTGGATTAGGGCAGCCACTCAAGAGAAATTCAAATATCCTCCAGCTGATTAGCAGAATGCCCACAGCTCCTACAGCTGGCAGCATGTGCTTTTACCGGTGGTGCATGCCTGCACAAGCTTTGGTGCACATAATAAAATTTATTCTGCACATGCATGGAAAAAATTAGAAGGAACATTGCTTGACTCCATCATTAATTTCTTCTAATGGCAACAATGCCACAAGACTGTTTGCGTCAAATGGGGTAACTGTTTATATACTAAGTATCAGACGGGTACCTGTGTTAGTCTGGATCTGCAAAAGCGACAAGGAGGCCTGTAGCACTGCAATGAGGAGTAACGGTAGTTCAAATTAGGAGCTTTAATTCGAACTACCTAGCCCGTGACGTGTGTAGCCGCGGGCAGGTAGTTCGAACTACGGGGCATTTAAAAATGGCGGCGCCCGGGAACATGCAAATAAAGCCCGGGATATTTAAATCCCAGGCTTCATTGGCAAGTTCCAATGCCTACATTAGCCACCCTAGTTCGAACTGGGGTGGCAGTGCAGACATACCCTTATAGACTAACAGATGTATTAGAGCATAAGCTTTCATGGGCAAAGACCCACTTCATCAGATGCATGAAGTGGGTCTTGGCCCATGAAAGCTTATGCGCCAATACATCTGTTAGTCTATAAGGTGCTACAGGACTCCTTGTCGCTGTTTATATACTGAGAGTGCCTGTGCAATATCCTCTTAAATGTTTATGGTTTCATTAATGCATAATAGGCTTTCAGTACTGTGATGTAGTGTCAGTACCTTGCTGGTTGCTGTGCTTCGGCTGTGGTGACCACTACTGGCCTATGTCTGTAAGCACTGCCCACAGGGGGCATCTTGAGAGCCCCCATGACAGTGACCGAACTGGTTCTACTGGTAAAGGGAAGGGATGGAACAAAAGAAGTGAATGTTGGGGGAAGGGTCAGTTGCTGGCTGGGAAAATATGAAGGGAACAGCCTGAGCTGAGGGCTGAAGGGCTAGGGGTGATGGACTCCTAACCCAAGGAGTCTGAGGCATCCTGGCCCTGACTCCTGTAACCACATCATGTCTAGGCTGTGCTGTATCCTGGAGAAGCAATAAACCCTCTATTCTACTGCCTGGTGGAGTCTGTTCTTGCTGCTACGGGGGTGCAGCGTCGGGGAAACCCCCACGCGTCGGCACAAGTATACTACCTTAATCTGAGAGAAACCTTCACTAGAAAGTGAATGACTTGTGTGGGATCTGCGGTTCCTGAAGCTGGCTTTTTTTTTTTTTTTTTTAAAGATACCAATGGCTGCATTGCTGTTACCATGATTAGGCCTGATTTTTCATACTAACTAAATGGTTTTAACCAATGTAATGCTATTAGTTTAACTGGTGTTATTCTAGGATGGATTTAGACTATCAGGAGATCAGGTTTATCTGTTTGTGCACTTAGGGCTTCATTCTGGAAACACTCACTATTGGACATAGTATTTGTTATCTCGGGTAGTCCTATTTAAGGCAATAAGGCTACTTCTGCTTGTAAGTGGTTGTAAAATTGGGCCCTATCTTACACTCATGCAATGCCACCAAAGTCAATTAACATGCACATAACAAAAAGAAAACCTTATGAACCCATTTCTGATCTCACATGGGTTTTACCATTGATTTCAGTGCTGCTATATTTGTTATCGTCTTACTATCTAGTTTAGAAATATGCATCTGTCTATCTGTTTGTGAGCCAATCTGTTCAAGAACTCATCCTAAACCATAAGACTTAGGAGCAACAAATTTGATATGCAGTTTCCTCTTATAACTTAAAGTAAGGTGAGGATTTGGTCATACCAGGACAACGAGATGTGCCTAGAATTTGATTGATTCTCATAAAATAGAAAGGGAAGGGTCTAGCAGATGGGAGTTATACTGTAGAATGACCACAGGGAGCAGCAAGGGGCCAGAGATGGGGACTGGGACAGCTTTAACCCCATTGGACAGCAGGGCAGGGATAGAGAAAGGGACAGCTATCTACTATATATTTCAGAGAGTTTGTCTGTCTGTCCCCTAGCTGGGGACATGCACCCTTCTCCCAGCAGCGTCTGCTGCTGTGGCCATGGAGAGGTGCTTCTCACCTGGCCCCAAGAGGTTATGGTGAGAGGGCTGGAGCTGTCTTCTCTCCCGAAGGAAGCCCAAGCCTGCATACTGAAATCCTCATCCCAGCCTCTCCCAGAGCAATGTTTTAAATGAAGAAAAATCAAATTTATTTGAGTTAAGGACCTAATCAATGCCAAATAAATCTTCTAGTACTGGTATAAATTAAAACAACGCCAAGCCCATTGTGTTTAAATAATACAGCATTTTATTAAACTAAGCCTCCACACTTCATTAAAACAATGCCAAGCCCATTGTGTTTAAATACAGCATTTTATTAAACTAAGCCTCCACACTTAGACACTGTGAGGTCCCCAAGCATGCTAAAATACTCAGGGACAATGGGCTTTTAGCACCAGAAGGAGCTGTGGCTTTAAAGTTTTCCATTGCTGTTATGAGTTTAAATGAGATCCTTCATTATTATTTGAACACAGTGTAGCTGATTCATCGTTTAATCATATTTTGATCTTAATTTATCTTTGCAGCCACTGCCTTCTTTCAAAGTCTAAGACCACAGGAAAAAGAAGAAAGCCCTTTGAATTTCTGTCTGGCTTTTAAAAAATGTATAACTGGGTTATGAATATTTTATAGTGCTTCTCCATCATTTCACCTCACAGAGTACTGTTGTTGCTCCAACTCTTGATACGTGAAATGCCATGAAGTCTTATTGGCCACATGTTAGTGTCATTTTTGAACAGTAATAAGAAATAAAATGACAAACTAAAATTTTGTCCATCACATTTAAATCATAAAAAACACCCGAAAGAGTAAATACATTAAATATTGAAGGAAATCTCAGATACTCTGGCCTTTGTCTATTTTTGTGCATATTTTGTGAGAACTTTTTTCTGTTCCACTTATGATAAGTGAACACTTAAGATAAACAAATGGATTGGACAGTATAATCATCATTTGTAGAATTATTGGCTACTGTCCGGAAGTGTATTGCCATGCTTCTTTGCTATGGAAGCTCTATACTAGATGGCTACATTATTTAGCTGTTTCTGCTAACTATTCTACGTTAAAAATATACATGACAAATTCCCTATTATAACTTCAGTAGAAATATGCAAGTCTTCACACTCTAAAATAATAATATTTCAAAGCATGCAGCAAAAATGCTATAAAAACTACTTGGTAGTCAAAGACATCCTTAGTGTTAAGTCGCATTAATTTTAAAGATCTTGCAAAAAGATAGAAGAAAACTGACAATCCTGTATAGCAAATTGTTGGAACTCTGCTAGACCCCAAAATTTTGCCCCTGCTGTACCTGAATAACTCAATGCGGACTTGTACCAACATAAAGGTGAACTAAATTTTGACTGTTTCTGTTTAGTCATATTATTTGCTAGTATGTGCAAATGAACTTGGAAGGATTTGATGATTAACTGACTGCTACTTTCACTTGCAGTTCTGAGGCTCCAGCTAAAGACAATAATGTCAAGAATGAACGTGAATATAGCTAATCTGACTAAATGCAGTTAATCATCAAAGATTTCCTTTGTTACTTGGTGCAGGATGGTGACATCTGGAAAATGAGCATAATCTGCTGATACTTCTTCCATAGTCTACTTTGAAAATAGTGTGTATGCAAAATATGTTAACCTTGGATCAGCGTATATCCTTTCCAGATATTCAGTGCCAAATATACAGGCAGTGGAAAACATAGAAATATGAACAAACACCTCACTGATGCAAATGCAAATGCAAATGCAAATGCTACTATTTATTTAGTATATTTTATGTAATTAACATTTTATTATGGATTTTACTCTCCAAAGGAGCATCTTATATTTTGAAAAAAAAAAAAAATGAAATAGCCATGCTTTAGATTATGTGTCTTTAATCTGAACCCTGCTCCTTTAATTAAATTGCTGGAAATTTACAAGACTAGTTTTCTGTAAAAAATGGTATCAAAATGTAGGCTCTATATGCACTTACCTTGAGAGGCCATGAAGCTGCCTGAGTCACTTCTTCAAAGGAAGCCAGGTTAAAAGAAAAGGCTTTTCTTGTTGCAGGAAGGGGGGAGCACAGCATGCGCAAAACTTCAGAAGGTGCCTGTCTACTTCATGTCAGCTCACAAAAGAACTGGAAGGAAATGTATCACCTTTCCTATGTTCCAGGATTATGCATTTTATGACGATGGACAACAGGGGGAGATGGTGCGAGCAAACAAGAAATATATTATTCATTTTTAAATCATTTTGCATCAATGAAAACAGGAGAGGTGCATCACCAGTACAAAGACGTAAAATTCAAGTGCCCATTGGTTAATTTAAACACATGGATAAGACCTATGAGTCCTGCTTTGTACTGTACAGCTTAGGTTTCTGTATTCTAAGACTAGACATATTCTGTCTTTGTAATTCTGTATATTTCTATTTTCCCAGGACTTCTACAAAGGACACAGGAGCTGATGGCTTCCTCATAATGAAAGTTTCCACTGTTCAGAGAAGGAAGATCTTTACAGGATTTTTCATGTTATTTATTTTTCTTGTAACATTAACTTTCTCTAACCAAGGATGCTGGCTTTTCTATCACATGAGATCCAGAAAAGGATACCACCAGCTCTCTGTGAATGCATCTAGGATCTGTGGTGGACAGTGCATTTTGCAAACTAAATTAACACACGTTTAAAAATGGTAAATTTTGCTCCAGATGAAATCCACTTTAAGTCAAAATGGCATGCTAATAATTACCTGCATTGGACAGAGAGAAAAGGAGAGAGGGAGACACAGTAACCTTGACTTGCCAGCTCATATTTCTACCTCAAGTGACCAAGTCGCCATGGAGATCAGACCCATGTGATCTGTAGGCAGACAGGATTCATGATTGCTGGAATGGTGAAGTCTGTACATTGAGTCAGAAGAATTAAAGTATTTGGGGCCATATTCTGCTCTCATTCACATTCATGCAACTCCCACTGATCTGAAAAGGTTTGCTTGGGTGCAAACAAGCAAAATTTGGTCCATTGTTTACAATTCAATCAAGTTTCTGAAAAGCCTCTTTAAAAAACCAGATGATTTCTGCTTATAGGAGTTCTAATCAAAGTAGCACACACCCCAATCCCAATCTTACACTGTAATGCAGCAGATTTGGACTTTGTGAAACTGCCTTGGAATTTACACACTCAGTGTGTGTGTGTGTGTGTGTGTGTGTGTGTGTGTGTGTGAGAGAGAGAGAGAAAGAGAGAGAGAGAGAGAAACTCAAATAACATAGAGGTATAGGGACTCCTATGTCCCCACCACTCCTGCCGCCTTCAGCTATGGTGGGAAATAGGGGAGAAGAGAGTGTGGCTAAAGTATCCCTATAACCCAGAAATTCTAGGTTGCTGAGACTGACAGGGCATTTTCTGCCTTGAAACTGACCCAAACCCTTGCCCGCCCAGAATCAGGGACTGGGTAAGAGACAAACATTGCTTAAAGGCACACTGTTATTTACCGTCCCTTCCCCCTCCCTCCAAAGTTGTTCCAGTACAGAATTTAGAGACCCAAGGACCTGACCCAAAGAAAAAAAACCACAAATAAACCTTAAGAAACATTGGGAGTAAACAGAGAAGAGCAACTGGTGAGAGAAAGCGGTGACCTTAATAAACTTGAAAGCTAAGAGTGGTATTTTCAAAGGCATTTCAGGGATTTGCCTGCAAAACTCACACTGATACCTTTAAAATGATTTAAAAGGGCTAATTCACATGTTCACACCCCAGAATCCACAATAAAAAATACTTTTGCCTGTAGCAATCCATAGCTCTGTTAAGGTGTGTCTACACTGCACCCTTAGCATGAAACAAGCTATGCAATTTGAGCTACGCAAAAATTTGGCCCTGTCTACAGAGTGCCAAATTTCTAAATAGAGCGCTATTCCAAAATGCCCATTAATCCTCATGGAACTGTGTGTATAGGGATGTCGGAATAGCGCGCCTGTTATTTCTAAAGATACTTAGAAATAATGGAAATGCTGTCAAGATGAGGAATAGCTATTTCAGGATACCAGAAGTATTCTGAAATAGCACCACTTTCTAGATGCACCCTTACGTTTTACATACACACACACACATATGCACATACGAACATACTTATTTCAAGCAGCTAAAATGCATTTAAAAAGTGGTAAAATACATGATGTTTTTGGATTAAAATACTGTATTAACAGAAGAGTCTCTATTAAAATGTAATCCACAATGTGCTCAAAGGGAAAGCTGACTCTTTACCCCTGTGTTAATAAGACCAGGACTTTGGGTCACTGTGTATTCATTTCCCTTTCAATCATTTTGCAGGAAGAATAGTTAAAGCACTGCCCTCTTCAATGGTTGCTTATGAATAGAGCCATTCACTTTATACCTGCAGGTATCTGTGGATGTGGATGCGAATATCTGCAGTTCATTTTTGTGAATATGGATGCAGATGTAGATACAAATTTTGTATCTAGAACCCTGAAAATTTGCAGATATCTGCTGTATATCATGAGTATCTTCATCCACAGATTTGGGTGTGGATATATGCATTTTTGTAGATACAACTGTTGTATGTGCACAGGCCTCTACTTACGTCTTTATCTGTTCTGCAATAATTCCTCTTGCAGAAGTGGAGACAAGGAATAAGAAATCTAGACAATATTAATCCTTGACTTACATTAATAATGGTTCAGTTGCATGCATACGATCTACAGACATCATAAGGGAGGATGTGTTTTCTTTAAAGTTATTTCTAAATTACTGTTGGTGTGGATGGTACCTTAGAGAGTCACAAAATATTATTCCAGTCACAAAGAGCTTGCAATCTATACTTTTCCTTCTCGCATCATTTCTAAATATTTATCTCTTAGAATTTTCTAAAAGTTCTACAACTGTGTGTTTTGTTTGTTTAAAGTAGATCTTATTCATTTGTTCTTTCACAGACTCTTTTTCTATGCCCATCCTTTGTCCTGTTTTGTTGTTTTATTCAGTTACCAAGTTTGGCTTCTTGTTTTCTGAAAAACCTTGTTTTCACATAACTTTTTTTATTTGCATAGTTCCTTTTATACCAAAGAATTTAATTTTTTTTCTAGATGTCTGGTGGAATTTTCTAAATCATGCTAGGTATGTCTACACTACAAAGTTAGTTCGAACTAACAGACGTTAGTTCGAACTAACTTTAATAGGCGCTACACTAGCACTCCGCTAGTTCGAATTTAATTCGAACTAGCGGAGCGCTTAGTTTGAACTGGGAAAACCTCATTTTACAAGGACTAAGCCTAGTTCGAACTATCTAGTTCGAATTAAGGGGTGTGTGGCCCCTTAATTCGAACTAGTGGGAGGCTAGCCCTCCCCAGGTTTCCCTGGTGGCCACTCTGGCCAACACCAGGGAAACTCGTCTGCCCGCCTCCCGGCCCCGGACCC